AAAAAAACCCATAAAACTCAAATGAGTGACTTAAAATTTGACTTGAATACAAGCCTAGTTGTAGTGTTTCTGAATAGCAACACTCAATTTATAAATTGAGGTACAATTTTAAAAAATGATGCATATGACAGAAAAATAAAGAGAAAATGGCAGTTGATGAGTGTGTTAACTTGAAACTATTGAATAAAGCTTTAGAAAAGGGGCAGGGGGAGGGGAGAGAGAGAGAGAGAGAGAGAGAGAGAGAGAGAGAGAGAGAGAGAGAGAGAGAGAGAGATCAACAGAAGAAAAATAGACCCAAATGCTTAAAGAAACTAAGTTTACACATAAGGTGGCATTTTGAGCAAGTGGGGAGAATATTATTTTATTACAGAAACACATTGTTATATACTGGATTGACACCACTGATCACAGATTGGAGGGAAGAAATAGGGTCTTTACCTCTATTTCTTGCAATAAAAGATTCCCTTGAAGTCAGAAGATATAAACAAACGAAACCACAAAATTTTAGAAGAAAAAGTAAGTTTATTTATAATCTCAAAATCAGGAAGGCATTTAAATAAACTGTAAATAAATCCCAGTATCTGCAAAGAAAAATACAGATAAATTTACAACATAATATTATAAACATTCTATATGCCAATAAACAAGCAAACTAATAAACACATCAAAAGATAGATGATAAATTAAAATATTTCCAGATATAAGAGAAGAGCCTGACATGCATAAGAAAATTAATTAAGAAAAAAAAAGCCAAACAACCCAATTGAAAAACTGCATAAAAGTATAAATTTACAAAGATTGAAATTGCCAAAAAATCATTTGAAAAGATGTTCAACCTCACAATAGAATGAACTAAAGTCAGAATAATAGTACAATACCTTTTTTTTACCATGTTGGGAAAAAAATAAATTCAACAATATTTAGCACTAAAAGGCTAAGAAACTTGTCCTTTCATTGTACTCTTGGTGGGGTATCCACCGATTGGTGTCTGGAAGATAATCTGGCAATATCTATCACAATGCACAAAGCCTTATTGTCCAGCAATTTAATTTCTAACTGGAATTTCTACCAAGATATAATCACAAAAGTGTGGTAAAATATACACACAGAGATGATAAGTATAGATTTGCATATAAAAATAAAAACTGGAAATATCTACATGTTTACCAATAAAAGAAAAAATCAAATAAATTATGGTCCACTGAGGCAAAGGAATGCTAAGCAGCCATTTAGAGAAATAGAGGTAGATCTTCATATGTCACTGTGAAAGATCTCTAAGTCAGAACACTAGGTGCAGAGTGCTTTGCATAGCATGAGGGCTAGAATATGTCTTTCTCCATTCCCAACTCTCTCCTCCTTCAGCCCCCGCCCTTCTTTTCCTCCATTCTAGAATTGTCTCTGAAAACTCATCAGTGGAGGACAAAAAGGAATCTCTGTGGAGGACAAAAAGAGGCCTCTGTGGAGGACAAAAAGGGGAAGGGGGTGGCAGGAGGCTGCTTGGTTTTGTTTTGTGGTACAGGGGACTGAACACACAGATGCTCTACCTTTGTGCCAATTCCACACCTTTTTAATTTTTTTTTTTTTTTGAGGAAGGGTTTTCCCAAGTTGTTGAGGCTGGCCTCCAACTTGTGATTTCCTGCCTCAACTTCTCAAGTGACTAGGATAAGGAAGGTTTCTGTTTCTAACCATACACATTTTTCTAATTTTGTGGAGAGTTAATTCCTAATTATTATTATCAATGACAGAATAGTTATTTGGGTGGTCAAAATGATAAACTTTTATTTGCTTTTTATGTTTTTCTGTATAAAATACAAAATGAAAAATGTTCTCTTTTTTAAAGCAGAAAAGTATATGGTAGAGATTAATTTCATGTAACAATAAGAAACGAAGCTCTCTCTTTTTAAATCAAACACTTCTATTTGTTTCTAAAGACACCTCAATAGGAAAAACAAAAACAACATTGTGCATCATTTGTCCACACCATGTAGAATGGGTGGATGACCCTGCTCCAAATAGCATTTTGCTAGAGTCTTGTGGTTTATCAACCTTCTTGTTGTAAACAAGTTCTCTTAAGTTGCACACACAGGCACTTGCACATATGCACGCACCCATGCACACATAAAACACACAAACCTTCATTTTCTCTAAACAAGTGAATTTATAGGCATTACTCAGAAATTAGTGAAATGGATGGCAATTTCTTTTGATCTGAAAATCTAATCTTTCATGATGTGCCCCACTCAGTGGTTGGATGCAGATTAAAGATTTCTAGGAGCTCAGAAGCACAGTTTTGAGCTTTGAGCAGTTACTGAATGACACAATAGAACCACAGAGGTTTTTCTTGGTGAATTACCTTCTGATCTCATTAAAAACAATAACAACCAAGAAGAGGCAATAGTGATTACTACCTGCTAATCTCAGTGGGATATGGTGTCCCCTCTTAGGTTAAAAAATTGAAATTGTTCTTGTCTTTAGAACACATCTCCAGTGAATCACCCATTAACCCTGAGCCAACTTTCTGTGTTGAAACTGGGGTGAACAAGCTATAAGGAGGCAGAACCCCAAAAGTCAGAAACCAGGGCTTATTGCTGTGCAGCCTCTGATGTTCTGACAGCTCCTCCATGTTGACTGCTACTGATGGGCATCTCAGAAAGCCACCATCCCCTCCCCAGTTCTTACTACACAGGGGCCCAGAGAGGTCCCAGTCCCTGCCTCCTGGCCCTGTCACATGGAGAAAAAGCCAAATAATATGCTCATTTTACGATGTGCATTGGATGGACATTCTTCTAAAACGAATCATCTCCAACAAGTATGAAGCATCTAAGACATTCTTATTTTTAAAAAAGCACATTAAAGTGTGTAACTTAGCTTCAGTTATTCCTTCGAGCTGGTATTTCTCACAGAACCCTATTTGTCCTTTGAATTTTGCAGAACAGAACAGTGTCGAGGGGTAGCACGTGAATCTTGGGAGTCATCTAGGATCTACAGGGGACACAGCCTCTCATGCACACTTGACTGGGTCTGGTCCTATATTGGAATTGACACAAACTTGAGTCCCTCTGATTTTTCTCAAAAGAATAGGTTTGTAAAAATTAGTCAGCTGGTATAAACATAGTTTACAAGAAACACACACATACACACACAGTGTCTGTCTCATTCTCTTCTATAAACAGCATACAACTGTTCTCTCTACCGACTCTCATCGGTAGAGAAAAAATATATAGTTGAACTACAGAAAAGCCAGCAGATAGGTTTTAGTTTTTTTTTTCTTTCACAAGTCAATTATTAGAATGGATTTAGTGAGTGGTTTATTATCATTAGTTTTAATCTAGGTTTGTACACAGGCAAAAGCACACGTTGAATTTTTATGTGGGCCTTATGGCAAATGACATGCAAGCATGCAAAACCAACTGTACAGGCCTGCCCTGGCAGTCTGGAGCCACAGAGATCTCTCTAAATGGCTCTCCAGAAAGAGAACAAATAGGCAAAATGACTGTACAGTGGCCCTGCTGAACATAGTGATGTGCCAATGGTATGCATAAGATATCAAACAGAAAAATACTAAGATCCTTTTACTGAAGGTAACAAGGAAACCTGTAACCATCAGGATTGACAGCCACAAAGGATACATCAGAGTTGTCACATTTAATGCTGCTGTGAGTTTACCACACAGAATTCTCACCAACAACCACTTTGCCTATCTGTGCATTTCCTACGTGTATAGAACTGGGTGATGTTATGCAAAGTCTTTGGACACAGCCTCCACGAAGTTTGGAGCTGACATGAGGATGCCAATGGTGCAGATGATGGTGAAGACTGAGAAGGCCATGAGGCACAGGCGGTCCACCACGCAGGCTGCAAACTTCCACTCACTACAGACAGCCTCACTCTCATCCTGGCAGCGGAAGCGGTTGGCAATGTAGCGGACCTCCTCCAGGATCTTGGCCAGGTCTGGGTCCCCCTCTGAGGGCTGTCCACCATGCAGAAGGTGCTCATCATGTGTAGGGGAACAAGCCATGCGGCCACACACAACCCCAGAGTCAGGGGTCGGGGCGCAGTGCATGCCCTCCAGGCCTCGGAAGCCGATGTACAGAAGGTTCCCGTTGCTGGTAGGAGGCCCTGCACTCGCACTCAACTCCACACTGGCCAGGCTGCAGCGTCGCTGCTTGTGCTGGCAAGCTGGGCGGACCTTGTCTTCCCCGGGCCTCTTCATGCGCAGGAACCATGCACACCAGTTAAGAAGAATGACTCTGGTCTGGGGGGACAAGAAAATGTTAAGAGAGGCCAAGAAGTGGATATTAACTGATCCTGAAAGCACTGTGATCCTACATAACAGGCCTGACTTTGTTGATCCTGGGGCTAACACGTTTCATCACCTCCCCAGTGATTCTATATGGGCAGGCGGTGCCAAAGCCTAACAACTGTTAGTCAAACATGAAGTGAGAATAAAAGCTATAACAGGTTTATCACCCTGGTTATGAGCTGATTTTTTTTCCCTGGGGTGGGCACACATGCTGCATTCTTTAAGAAGACAGCCTTGTCAGAGGAGGCCTGGCTTGGCAAGAATACCTCTGGGATAGGTAAACAACAAAAGTCACTTTCCCTCTCTGATCTTCACACATCTGTAACCAAGGACCTTCAGATCTAATCCTCTATCTCCCATACTGTGTGTAAGGCACCCTGGAAGACCACTGTAAATCACAGAGGCACTGGGAGATTTTAACATTCAAGGACAGCCCTTGAACACAAGGACCACTGATTTGAAATAGTTCAGGCTTTCAACATTAGATGGTCACATCTCGTGATGACATTATATCTTTGCAACACTGGTTTTCCAAGTTGCCCTGAAAAAAAAAAAATCAAGTTCCAATGTGAAACAAAAAAATGAAGACAGTGGTTTCCAATCTAATCCCAAGACTCAAGAGGATGTGCTGAATGTACCCTACAGGTGCTCTCATGATGTTAAGACATAAAAGCTAAATTGTTTCAACCTATGTAATAAAGACACTGTTGCGGAATATTTCCTCAGGTCTAGGAGCTCTGTGGAAAAATTCCTGAGACACCAATGTGCTGTGGACCAAGGAAGTCATAGAGCCCCTCATCTTAGGATCCCTTAGGCTACAGTGAACACCAAATAAAAGGATGTCTGGGAAAGTACTTATATTGAAAGTTGAAAGCAGAGTTGGCAAACTTTCTATAAAGAGACAGATGGTACATTTTT